TTTGCTCTGGCTGCGCTCTTGTTGGTTTTTGCATTCCGCTGGCGCGTCTCTGTGTGCTTTTGCACAAAACTTTGGCTGCTGTTTGCCACTTTGATGATGTCATATGCAAATGCCCAAGACCGAATGCGAAAGATAGGGGCAAGCTACGGGACAGATGCCAAATTTTCAGAGCCAATCTCTCGGCCGGGGCATATGGAAATGACAAAGGTGATGCTAATGGTGATGGATATCGCTGTTGATTATGTCCCCCCTCGATCGGAATGCTGTTTGCTATTTGTTTGTTATTTCAAGAGTGATTTATGCCGAATATTTGACTAATTCTTATCGCATTTTTTGCATCTCTTTGCAGGTGAGTGAGTATTCTGGCAGTGACATTTTCGAGATTGCAATTCGGGGAATGCCTAAATAATAGCAGGTGACAAATGGAAAGGGTAAGCTTAAAATAGGAGGTTTTAAAATATTCTTTACATTTCTCTGGGTATTTTAGTAAATATTTAAAAGCAATTTCAGGTAGTTAAATATCTCATTTAGAAATGAATGAATGCCTTTTGAAGATATGGTTTCACTTTCACTTTAAGGTTTTATTTTCAAGCCTTGTTTGAGCCTCGTTTTTACGAGACTCCTACTTCTCCAACTATGCCCTTTACGTAGCGTGAACGCTGTAAACACTAAATTGTAGCATTTTATGGATCCTTTTCCTTCATCCTTGACCTCCCTCAAGGTTCGCATTGTAATCAACTCGAGTCTTGCTCCATTGCCACTTGGCTGGCAGGCGTACTGGCAGCCAAGCGAGCCACGCAATTTGTAACTTGTTAAGAGAGCGAGAAAGAAGGAAAAGAAGACCCAGTCCGGGCGTGACTCGGCTCCCTGGTGCCCTCCGTTCACCTGTTTGTTCCTGAAGCCGAGTGGACATATGCCTAACGACCCATTAGTCACGTCAAATCGGCAACACGAACGGCCGCAAGTGCGAAAACAAAGGAGCAACGTTGTCCGGAAAGAAGAGAAACAAATAAAAACAGATGGAGGTAGGGGTCCCGAAAAAATAGAAACGAAAACAATAAAGCCAAAGTGATCGTGACCAATTGTTGGCTTTTGGTCACTGGACCAACAATCAACAATCAACACCCAACTTACACAGGGAAGGCGGCAGCAGCAGCAGCAGCAACATGCAACCAACGGGCGACATCGATTGGATATCTGCAAATATTTGCCCCTGTTGACGAACTTGCGGCCATTTTCGCCACCTTTTTCCCCACTTTGGCAACCACCCACTTAACCCTACACTGCCATCACTCATTGCGGGCACTCTCTAGTAGTGGCACCAAATGTGCATAGACTGTCCATCAAGTGACCGCAAAATGTTGCCAACACTATGCGACGGACCAGAAATGCGACCAGACCAGAAATATCCGTCCGGCTTTCCGGTTCTTCACTCTCACTAGGAGAAATATATGGTTAAAATACTAATTTTAAAGGTGAAAACTAAAAGGCTGTCATAACTCTCATCACTTTCCTCTAAAAACAAACCCTATTCAAGGGCTTAATAGTAAAAACTAACCCCTTTTAATGAAAACATAATTAAATAAATAAATTCCCTCCAGGTAGATACTAATCCCCCTTTTTTCCAGTGCACCGTTCGTGCTTGCGGCCACTTGCAGGCCATTCCGATGGTATTCTGCCTTCGTTCAGACACCTTAAATCAAATATGTATATATTGTAATGGGACGTGACAGGTCGTACTTTATGCGGCTCTGATTCATCATCAGGCTCGGTTCTTCATTGTCAGCTGCGGCATTAAGAGAATTAAATTTTATGTGCCATCTGCCAATGATTTGACAATTGAATTTGCGAATTAACATTGGTTTTGGCGGGCGCTTTTTATTGCATTTTCCAGGGACACATGTGGTCCATGCAAATGAACACATATCCCATTTTCAGTTGCGAAAAATAAACCAGCAAGGACAACAGCGAGAGAAACAAGCTAAATCCATTTAGGGCGCGCAACCAGAGACTGGCATCCCCTTTAATACCCGGGACCTATCCCAATGCAGGAAAGTGTGTGCAGGGTGTAGAAAAACGAATTTCCAGAAAATATTCCGGAAGCTACGAAAAAAAAAAACAGCAGAGCAAGAGATTTTTGGGGGCGAAATTTTTACCCCTTTTTTTCGGTAGAAAATAATCACCCCCAAGCTCTTAGAAATTCAGAATCGCAGCTTCCTCACGTAGTGTGCGTTAGTTTTTGTGGCCTTGTCGGACAAGGGTATGATGACTTTATCAAGGGGATTGAGTTCTGACAGATCCTGGACGAAGTGGAGTATATTTTCGGCTGCTCTTTGGCAGGCAGCTATCAACTTTGATGTCTCTTTAAGTTTGGGAAAGACGATTAACCTGGGGAAAATCGTGTCTATCAGCATTTGTTTTGATGGTTATAGGGGTAGTTAGCTGATGAATTAAATGGTTTATATTTAAATTAAAATCTATTTATGAAAGACCTTACCTTCACTTAAACCTCTCTTGTTGGCCTAGCCATTTATAATTTCTACTAACTTATTTAGAACATTTTTTTCCAGCCTCCACTTAGAAGGAATTTCATTCAGTTTTGTTCAAGCGTATCTCCATTTTCGTCTTGCCTTCTAAAGTGCTATTTTCATGGCTTGGATTTTGTTTCTGGCCAAGTGCAATTCAGCTCATGTACTACTGGCCTGGCCCGCTTCCCGTTCCCCATACTGCATACCGCACTGCCATACTGCCATGGTGCCGTAGTGCCATTCAAAAGCATCCACGAAATGGGTCTAGTGCATGCTCCGCAGCCTTCGTCCTTCGCATCCTTTGTCCTTGGCGTTGGGGGGCTTCGGCTTGCCTCTCTGTTCCGTTTTGCAAGCAAACAAATAGAAAACGTTGCCCGCTGTTTGTCGCCATATGTTCTGCTTGGCGGGGGATTCACACAACCCAACTGTTCTAGGGGGGTTTATTTGGGCTTGGGTTTGGGTTCGGGTTGGGGTTGGAATCCTGGAGCAGCAGCAGCTGCTGTCCTGCTGCACTGGCTGCCCGAAATTGAGTTTTTGGCCACGACTTGGATTTATTTGCATAGTCGACACGAAAGCATTTTAAGGCTTCCACAGGAATGTTATTTGGAGTAGGGTCAGTTCAGTCAGTGAGTTCATGTGCGTGCACTGTGGAATGGAGTGGCAAGTAGATAAGAGTTTTTGAATTTATTAACCTTCATTTTAAATATTAAATATTTTTGAGAACTTGAAATAACATATTTTTAAGAATCCAAGGATTCTGGCATTAATATTAACAATGGTATTCAAAGTTTACAAATTTAGATGTCTTCCTTACTCTTAAAATGATTTTATTATGGTTTTTAGTAATATTTTTTTAGTCAGTTATTACAATCTTCCATTTTGTATTTATCATTCATTCTCTTTTTCTTGTTTGTTTATTTATATAAATATATATTTTTTTTATTTAGTGTTCCATTTGTCATGTTTGTATTAATTTTTTGCAGAGCACCCAAGTGACCCGAAAGGCTTTTAGAGTCGGCTTATAGGCTCAGGCTCTCAGGAGTCCTGAGACCTGAGTCCTTGCGCCTAGGCCCTGGTCCTTGGTGTGCTCCTTCTAATCCTCGTATCCTGGCCAAGCCGAGAGGCTGAAGCTGATGTGTAAATGCCGTCATAATGCTTGTACCGACGTCAGCTTGACAGCTTTCCCCCCTGTCCACATTGTGGGCGTGGCACGTGGCTGACCAAGGGAACGGAAGGCTGAGCAATCGTCAAGGATGGGCAGCACACACGCACACAAACACGTGGGTCCTCGTGGCAGCTTATTAGTATGCAGCTGGGTTCGCTTTTCGGGTCCAAAAACTAGGGGGCTTTTCGTACCTCTCCTAAAACCCACTAACCCACATGCAGACATCTAAGCGTGTGTGTTGATGCATTTTACTACGTGTTCGTGTCATGATTCAGTTTGCTTTAATTAATTTCGTACTCCATTTGCCAGGGAATCCCCTAAACAGTGGCTTAAATTAACCGTTGCACGAGAGCTGCCTTCGATAAATGTTCATCTTCGATTGTCGGTGTATGGTGAGAAATTCACTTTTATATTTGGAATAATTTATGTAGATTTTTATAACTAGCTGCCGGTATCTTAAATTGAAATCTTTGGAATTCTTTTATATCAATTCAAAATTATTCTCTACCATAAATATTACAAAATAAAACCCCCTCATGTACGTATATCCCAATCTAGGCCACTCATTTCCCTGTTTCACTTTCACAAATCTAATCAAACCCGAGGCCAGAACATCTCTCAGATTAATTTGTTAGCCCATCACATGCACTTGGCACACTTTCGTTGAACCCAGAAAAGAAATTCAAGAATGCACGAGGAAAACCCACAGGACGCACTTTCAGTTCAGTTTTCGCAGATTTAGCAATTTTTGATTACATTTCAATCTCATACAGCCACGAAAATTGCAGCGAAATATACAGACATTCTGCGAAAAAAACAAAAGAAAATCCAGCAAATGGTAGGAAAATGCAATTGGCGCGAAAAGCGGGCATGGCCCGAGGTCGTTGGGGAAAAACTCGAGCAGAAAATGCAGCTAGAAAATATGTATCAAAATTAAATTTCAATCGAATCGCAATTGCAAACCCAATGGGAATGGTAAATCGTTGCAAAATGTTGTTATTTCGCCAGTGACTCCACTGCAGTTTTGATTGCGAGTTGATTTGTAACTTAATTTATGCCATTTTCTGCCCCCAGCCTACGATTTCGGTATCATTCGGTTATCATTTCACTCGAGAGCAGCTTAGTTTAGCAACATGTACGTTGGGGAAAAGGGAAAAGCCACACGCACTTGGCACATTTTGGGGAAAAACTGAATTTCCTGGCTTGATTAGCTTGCCATCGGATTGAAGTGTTCTAGCCGATATCTCTGATGTGTGATTGATGGCTCTGCAAGCCTTGCTTGCTTTTAAAAATAAAAGTTTCTTGAATAAGAATACACAAATTACAAGGGATTTTATTTGAGATTCTCAAAACAAATCATGTGTGTGTTGGTCTTTAAGCGACGCCTACAAACAAATTTAGCTTATACTATTTGTTTCTTTTTGTTTTTACCACGGCTAGATTTACAACTACTTCGGTGGTTCCTCAGTCTTCTTTTTATTCGAGTTGGTACCATCGTTGAAGGGCTGTATTTCGCCAGAGGCCCAGATGCAGTAGACTATAGCCGTGACGACCAGTACGACAAAGGCGACCCAGAAGACCAGGCGCCACTCCATCATAGTTGTGTTCGGCGTCATTACTCCGACCAGGTAGGGAGTGATCACGCCCGTAAGGGAGCCGATGCCGTTGCTTATGGCCATCAGAACGCCAGCGTAGTTGGGACTCATGTCCAGCGGGGTGAGCTTCATTCCGGCATAGTAGGTGCCCATCGTACCCATGCAGAGGGTGAAGAGAGCCACGACCAGGATGCGATTGCAGCCAGCATAGGAGGCCCCAACCATGAGTACGGCCGGACAATAGGCCGCGAAGCCCGTCATGATCTTGCGCGTGTTGGTGATGCTCATGCAGTTGCGATTAATCATTAAATCCGCCACCACGCCGCTGGTCAACGAAATGATCCACATCATCATGTAGGGCAGGGAGGAGTACAGACCGTTGTTCTTGATCGAGAAGCGCATGACGTCGGCCATGTACTTGGGCAGGCAGGACACCATGATGTAGAAGCCCCAGTCGTGACCGATCTGGGCACTGATCAGCGACCACATGGGTACGCTGGTGAATATCGCCTTCCAGGGCGTACCCGGCATATCCTTGCTTTTCGGAGGAATCTCCCCCTGCAGGTAGTCCCGCTCCTTCGCCTTGATAAACGGATGTGTGCCGGGGCTGCTGTAGCACAGTGCCGTGAAGATCAGAAACCAGAGAATGGCCAGTGCGCCGAAGAAGTAGAACAGCCACGGCCAATCGAAATGGTGCAGAAGTAGGCCAGATAGATAGTTGCCCAAAATGCTGCCCACCTGTCCGCCTCCAAGCACCAGGGCGCCCAGCATGCCGCGCTCTCTCTTCGGCACCCAGGCAGACAGCAGGCAGCTGAGCGCCGGAAAAGTTGTGCCCTCACCCAGTCCCATTAGCACACGAAGTACGATGAGGCCAATGTCCTCGGTATAAACGATGGTCACCGGTGTTATCAACGTGAATATTGCTGTGGCAAGTATGCCCAGGCTAAGTGTCCACTTTCCGCCAAACTTGTCCGCCAGAATGCCGCCTGGCACATGAGTAATGAGGTAGCCAATGTAGAAGGAGGCCAGAATGAGGCCCTGTCTCTCCTGAGTCCAATCATAAGTGCCGGAAGAGCTTTTCGGAGGCCCACCGGAGGGATCGTCAGCTTCGCACAAACCTTCCTTGGGCGTATCCGTATAGTTTCTCGGGATTACAAGCACCGTGATGGCCTGGGAGAGGCAGACGCGCATGGTGTAGGCATTCACAATGGCAAAGAAACCCATAATGGCTAGGATCCAGCGTTGTGGCACGATGAAGGCCTTGGATAACTTGATGGCCCAATCGGGCTGAGCCTGTGTATTCTCCATTCCGTTTTTAATATCAACAAAAACTTGTAACTGAACAAACTATGAATGATTATTTGTAGGCGCTATGTTCATTGCCACCTTCGATCGAAATCTATGAATTTTCATTACCTATATATTCATTAAGTAATAATATTTCCCAAATATCTTTAGGCCCTTCAACAAACGGGCATAAATCATCTTTAATTTTGATCTCCGCACGTCACCTTAAACCGTTTCCATTAGTCCAGATCCCTTGGTGTTCTTCATCCGTTACTATCTCCCCTTAAAGCAAATCCTGTGGATGCGCTTTTCCTGCTCCCTGTCCCATTTCCCAGCTCAGCTGAGCTCACGTAATCAAGCCGCTCATTTCCCCAGTCACCAGTAACAAATCCTTCAGCTGACATTTCCCTTTTTAAAACTGCTTAACTTACTGCTTCGGTTACTGGGTGTTGTTGCACTGCCTTCCCCCGCTTTTCCTCCTCCGTTTTCCCACTGGTAGCAAGTCTCCCAGCATCACAGCTCATTAATCAACTGGAAAAGCGTTGAGCTCGCCGCTGTTTTTGCAGCATCGCCCCGTCGTGTTGACGTTCACCTCGAAAATGTCACTTTCTTGGGCGTGAAATTTTCCAACATTCCACCCACCTAGTGAAACGAAACTTTGGTTTTCGGTTGATTAATTGTTTAGTTAGTGATTAGGGAGAAAGAGTGACCGCAAGCCGAGCAAACCAAGGAGACTTTAAGCTCGGTTCCAATTAAAGACGCTCACGAAACGCGGCCAAAACCGCGCTCTTGCCAGATAAGGCACACGCGATTTTAACAGCGTCGCTTTATTGGTTGCGGTTTCAATAAAAAAGAAAAAAAAACCTTTCAAGAAGCATTATTGCCACTCCAGTGATGAGTTTTTTATTTCACTTCACCGTAGACAGTGCACTCTGCATAAAAATTGAGCTCTCTGAAGGGTTGAGACACTTTCCAACTTAATTATAATACAATTTCAAGAGAATTTTAACAGAATATTTAAGAAAATGTTAAAATATTGTGGTTTTTTGTATATAAATATATATTTTTCATTGAAGAGTTTATATTAATTTATATTTTTAATAATTTTAAATTAATTTGTTTGGTATTATACATTAAAATAATGTGTTTTTATTATAAATAAATATAAAAAAATACATATTAATATTATATTGAAGAATTTGTTTACTAATTTATATTTCTAACAATTTTAAATTTATTTATTTGTATACAAAATTGTTTAGATAATGTGTTTTTATTGTATATAAAAATACATTTCATATTGCTGAGTTTTTATTAATTTTTATTTGTAATATTTTATATTGATAATAATTTTAAATTAATTTATTTGATTATAATTATTATGTGTTTTTATTGTATAGTATATTGCATATAAAAATATTACATATTTATTACCTATTTTATTATTTAAAAATACATTTTATACTGAAGAATTGTTTCTTCTTATTTATTTTTGTAAAACAAATCTTTAACATTATTTTTAAACTTATTAAAATTTCGATTATATATTTTAAATACCTATAGTTTTCTTCTGTTCTTCATATCGTTCGATGACTGTACTGTAACAGCACACACTTGAACGCACACATCTTTCGTCCTCTTGTCTAAAATGCAGCTTGCAGTTTGTGTCCTGGCTTGCATTATATCTCCCCTCTCGCGCCATTGGGTCCTGTTTCAAGAACAATTCCTTTCACGTTTGAGTGTGTGCGTGTTATTTTTTTTGAGTGCATTTTTCTGCATGTGACTGCACTGCAAGTTTTCATCATCATCATCATCATTGTCAAATGGAAAGCGAAAAAATTGTTGTCGTCATCATAAACGTCTTGTTCGCCTTGTGGGTGAATCCCCCTAACCCCCTAAAATCAACCGCTTTAAGCCCCCTCTAGAACCCCTATGTTCGTCCCAGAAAATTCTATTGTCAAAGTTTTTTTTGCTTGGTGTGTTTTCCCTCGGTTTTACTTACTTTTCAAATGAGTTTTCCGTCTAACTTTAAATACAACGAAAGGAAAGTGTGTGTTTGGAGAAGCTGGAGGAGATGAGTAAATATTTCTGTGGCAAGTAATTTATTACTAGTATTTTTTTAAGCAAATTAAGTTTAAATCAGATATATTTTTTTATAAAGAATTAAACTATGTTCAGTTATTTTCCTTTCGTTTAGCGTCCTTGTAAAACTTAATTTTAAACTTATTTCCCCCTAAGTTTCAGTTTCTGTCAGCATTATTTGTATATTTCTCACACTTTCGTCTTTGGCCAAAACTTTGTTTTTATTGTTCTCTTAACTCTCATCATATTAAATAATTTTTACTTTCCCTCCGCAGCAGGAAGAAAAATGGAAAAGAAAAAGAAAAACACTTGGCTGCCATTCATGTTTGTTCAGTTTGAGCGTAAGAAAAGTTTTTCACACAATTAAGTTGAGCAAAATGCTGTGGCAGACCCGAAATTGAAAGAAGTCCTCGCCAGGACATCAAAAATTCTGCTGCAGCAGCTGCTGCTCCTGGCGTTGCCAGTTCCGCATCAGCAAAACAAAAATAAAAATAAAGAAATTTCAATTAAATAAAACTCCATCAGCCAAAAATTCATGTAGTTTTCATTGAAGTTTCCATAAGCGTTGACTTGGAATAATAAGTTAAGGATAAGTTAGGTATACGTTTACTCTTAATACAAAAACTATATAATCAAATATTTCTTATTAAAGGAGATTACATATCCCTCTGATAAGAAAATAAACAAACTTGGGATGTTCACTCCACATTTCAAAAACAAAAAATTCAATTTCCAAGAAATCAAAACCACACAGCTAACTACAATAAAAGGTTGTTTGAAGTACTTTTACCACTTGTCCAAAATCCGAACCTGACCGATGGTTAAAAACTTCCATTATTCATTTAACGAGCGGAATCCAAGTGGAAATAATTTTCATTTAATTTTATTTTAAATGCACTCAAAGCGATAAGGATGGGAATCGACATCGACCTTCCTTTGCGCACTCGAGTGTTTTGTTCTGCTATCGCCGACATAAAATCATTGGAAAAGTACAAAATGGTAACCGAAAGGTACCCAGAGACCTGCGGAAAGCCAAAATGACTTGGCCGAAATGCCATTGTTGGCTGTGGCTGTGGGCTTGCCTGTTTACATTGATTGCTGGGCCAAAGATACAAAGGCGAGAACGAACGAGTTTCAGTACTAAATACTGCTTATATATGTACAAAAATACATTTTCCAACTGTCCGCCTTGTTGTTTTGAATCCTGTTTGTTCAACTTCGGGCCGAGAGGCTCCGGGATCCTACCTGAAACGGACCCCGACGAGTGGTCCATTGTGTCAGGTCGGGCATCAAATTTAATCCAATTAGTTAGACAATGCCCGCGGGGCTTCGGTTTTAGGGTTCTCGGGATCTGAGGTCTCGTGCGGATCGAATTTGTTGAATACGCCCACGTCGGCCCTCTAATCCCATCCGCCATTTGTTGCTGCACTTAATTAGGAGGGGCAGGAACTGAGAAGCCAACTAGCATTTGATTTTGAGAACCCTAACCCGAATGAAGCCATTTCAATGGCCTGCGATTTGGCACGTCTGCGGCCCCGATGATTATAGAAATATGTTGAGAATATTCTCGCAAATGCTTTGACTAACAAGGCGCACGTTGGCGTCGTTAGGCTGGCCATTAACTGGAATTGGTTCGAATTGTTTATTACCAATAGCGTAACGTAATCACACAAAGGATTCGGCTCCTTCTGCGCCACACAAACGCATATCAATTGCCCGAGCAGATTATAATGTTTATGGCCAGCACAGATAGTGGAAGCAGCAGCATTGTTTGCTCGCCGGGGGAAATTCTAAAGATTGCACTGCCAGCTGGTGTAAACTCTGGAAAATGCTTTGTTTTTGGTAAGTGGATTCAGTAGAAGATGACAGCCTGATGAGTTAATAGAGTTCGATTTAACATAGACATTAAAACAAATAAGGGAAGTTAACTTTGGCACGACGAAGTTTGTATATCCTCACAGTTTGCAATTTGAGCATTAAGAATAGATCCATTTTTGTCAAATGGCAAGGAAAACTAACAGAGATACTAACAGATATATATATATAATATATATAAACATTTATATATATCATAATAAAATTATTAATTATTATTACTAAAATTTTAATAGCCTCAAAGGGGCTTCAATAATTTAAATTAATTATACATAATTTTCTATGATTATTTTTGAGAAAATTAAAGCTTAAAAATATATAGTTGTTCTCAGTTAGTTTTTATAAGCTTAACAAATCTGCATACTGAATTTAACATTTTAAGAAATCAAAATTTTTTTCAATTTTTGCTAATTTTAATGATGTAACCCCTTATCAAAATTTTTAAAATTCAATTTTTTATCAAAATCAAAAATTTTAATGATGTAACCCCTTATAAAATTTTGCAAAAATGGCCAAAAAATCGATTTCTTCCTGACATATCTAGAAAGATTCGCCTGCCAATGCTGATCAAGAATATATATGATTTATAGGGTCGGAAATGACTTCTTCACTAAATAAAATCCTAAAACCCTTCGAGAAGAAGGTAATATTTGAATTCTTTAAATGCCATTTATTAATATTTTTGTATGAACATTTGTTGGACAAATCAAAGGCCACAAATATAAAAATGAAGTCAAAAATGAATCAAATTCTATTCAGAAAGCGTTTCTATGCTAGATTTTTTGTAGATTAACAAATCAGCATACTGAATATTTAGAAACCTGTAACTGGAAACTTTTACTTCTCATTCAGACTTAAGCTCGTAAACCTTCTTAACATACAAAAATAGTATTTTTAAGACTATATAGTATATAAAGTATATCTCTTGCAATGTTGGTTTTATGACTGCTGAAGTAATAGTAAGAATTCCCAAGCTCAAGAAGAATTGCTTCAAGTTACCTCATTTCTCCTCATCAATGGCAGTTACTTTCAATGCCAAATTCTTATGTCAGGGTCATAAAAACAGGGGGAGCTCTTACTTTATCCCCGCTCAGTCAAATTACCTAGCACACAACATAAAAGTACCCCTCACTTTCCAAAAAGATAGATGCATTTCTATTTTTATGCGCCAAACGCAACCTGCTCCTCTCTGTGTTCCCTGGAAAAACTCGTCGGCTAATTGCAGTTTCAACGCCTTTCAGCACTGTGGAAATGCCGCCTTAATAGCCTCTGCCTGGCCCCTGAGATTTTCCCCCCTCCTCATCGGTTTTCCGCCTTAAATGCTTCCTGCTTCTTCGGAGTATGCAAACTATGTCATTGGGTCTTTTGGTATTTTTCCTTCTTCTTTTTTTTTTGTGGTAAATTGGGGAATCTGTCTCTCTCAATCTCTCTCTCCCTCAAAATGCAGCTGGATTTTCCGCTTTTATTGTATTTTCTTGTTAGCTATTTACATTTTCCGCCGCTGCATTTTCCATTGAAAACTGTTGCAGCTTCTTGGGAACCTGGGCAACTCGTTAAAAATACCTCCCCATTTCCCCATTTTATCTGCTTTGCACCTTTCACCTTTCTAACTTGCGTTCTTTTCGGTTGTTTTTTTTTTTTACTCCCAAAATAGGAGAAAGGGGCGTGGCTTTTATGCTGGGAGAGATTTATGCAAATACTTCGTTGTGCTGACAATCGATTGACTTTTATTGTTAATGCCAGAATGATCAATGTGATGCGATTTTGACTTTACTTCAAGTAGTTGCTGATTTTCAGGATGTATTTTTCAACAAGAAAGCTGAAATGTATTTCCCTAATAATTCTTGGGGTTCATGACATTCTAAGCTGAATATTTACCATTCTTACACTGCCGAAACGCACTGTCTTCTTGTGTCAAGCACTGACCTTTGACTAGACAAACTTTTGGCCGGCCTTCAAAACAAAAAACCAACGACAAACAGATGTCATTTGATGATGACAAATATTTGAATGCTGGCTGGGGGATGTTCTAACCCCCGTCTAGCAATCTGTCTCACTCTCTAGCTATCTCTCTTGCCCCGCGGGGGAAGCCGGAAATTGCGTTGCTCTTTAACTGGGGTTAGGCACCCTTTTTTTTGTATTTTTTTTCCCCCGGTTAGGCTAGGGTTTTTGTACGTCGTTTTGGCCTTGGGCCTTGGCAGTTTTATCTTAAGTCAATTTGCTTTTCCCCTCATCATCATTCCGGGGCAACTAAGCGGTTTAGGGCATTGAAAAGTTTTACCCCCGGAAAAAAGAAAACTGAGGTCAAAGTGTCATAGATCAGCATTGTTGTCGCGGAAACTATTTGGGATAATTATCCAGGATGTGGCTGTCACAAGATATAGAACCTTTGCCACACACAAAGCGAGGGTTTCATCTCAATTAGGGGATGGCTTTGTTCTCGAATCGGTTTCGATTCTAAATTTTGTGTTCAATCTGTTATGTTACACCGAAAAAAAATGAAACGAAGATACAAATATTGTTCCTAAAATATAGAATAATAGTTCTTTTATAGATTTAGAAGAAGTCAGTTAATATTACAAAGGCCTTTGATCTTTGATATTTAAATAATGTAAACTCTGTTTTACATTTCCATTGATCCTGAAAATTTTTTGAACCTTATACCACATTTTATTCGTGTAGATATCCTGCTTTCTCCTGACATCTCCCTATCAATTTCGAATTTGATTTTTATGATTTCGGTGGCATCTCATTTCTCATTCCATCGCTCGTTTGCGGTTCCATCTCGCTGGCTCATTTGCATTTTGTATTGAATTCCATTTCATTTTCTTCGGCAGCTGCTGCCCCTGCAACCGAATGGCAACTTAGGCAAATTGAATGCGGCAAATGCGAGTTGGTAGCAACAAAAAAAAAAGTGCGCGAAACTGAGACAAAAGCTAATGCCAAGGGCAATGTGGAAAAGCCGCGGAATAAAAGTATGATTCCCATTCGATGGAGAATGATTTCGCCAACGATTTCAGTTGGCTATAAATAAGGCTCCGATCCATTACACAATAGAATACCCAGCTAATGGACCAGACTACCTCTGGTCCCCCTTTGCCTGGGCTTTCTTTTTCCGCCAACCTGTCTACGTGGATTCATTTTAATTAGCGGCTACAGCAAACATTAAATGAAAATGCAGTTGGCGCCTCGTCGTGAGAAAAGCGGCAACAGAGCCGGAAAAAAATATATGTAAAAAGCAAAAGGAGCATACAGGCAAAGTCCAGACCATTAAAATACTCTTCAAGAATATTTCTAAGTGAAGCTAAAATATAAATAAAATACAAATAATATAAAAAGAGTTCCCTCCACTTTGATAATGTACTTTGCAAACATTACTTAGGATTATTTGTTTTAAATCTGCTTTCTAAAAAATGCTCTAAAAAATGCAATTAAATTCAAAGCCACACTTTATTTTATTAAATTTTTAAATAATATATTTAAAACATATATCGTTAGGGTATTTAATGAAAGGCAAAAACAAATTCCTTGCCTGCTTTCACCAGCTTCAGGAACACAACAAAAAAACCCCACATGAGGTGTAAGAAAAAAGAGGGTGGAGTGGTCTGGAGGCATCTTTGCCTGGGTGGCCTCCACGGTGCTGTTGTTGCTCTCACTGCGCTGTATATGCAACATAATAATTTGTAAACATTTATCAATTATGCAGCAACAGCAGGAGCAGCGGCAATAACAGCATCGCCACCGCGTATTCCTCTGGCCCCACAAAGCCTTTCTAGCCGTGGCCAACTGGCCACATAAATTTCCACGTTGGCCGCCATCGCCACTCAGTGGGGGTTCCCCTCCATCGAAGAGTTTGCACTGAGGGAAAATTATTGAATAAATTTGTAGATGTTGGATATTATGGAGAAATATAAGAAAATATATTAAAAATAATTGAAATTGTTACATAAACCTAATAGATATTTTACAGATAAATTTTCAGCTTTTATTAATTTTTAAAGAACTTTTCCTGCAGTGTAAAAACACAGCAGTCTAGCTGCGCATTCCATGGGCGTTTTTCGGCTTTGACTTTGGCGGTTTTCTGGCCAGGGCGTTGATTCGCCTGACCAAACATGCAATTAAGTGCAAGTGGGCAACACCTCATCCTCATACTCGGCCGCAGCAGCAGCAGGAGCACCATCATCATTCGAGATATTCCCAGGAAAATGCGGGGGACAATGGGCAGGTGCATTCTGGGGATTCTGATGTGTGCCAGCAGCTCGCCCTGCCGGAATGCCCTCGTGGAGTCAGTCCATCAATCATCCAGCAGGCCCACTTGTTGACAACAACAACTGCGGCAAACATTGGGGGGGATGTGCCGGAGAAGGGCTGCTTCATCAACGTGACCGAGACCTAATCCCAGGCATCTGCCACAGCGGCAGGTGCCAAAATCCCAAAGTGCCAAGGGGCTAAGGTGTCGCGTCCTAGATTGCCAGGATTCCCAGGTTCAAAGGTGTCAGCGAATGAAGAGCGATCATGCTGGGCGAAAAAGGAATGTTTAAGCTAATTCCTGGGAAATATATGTTGAGTGTTAAGAGAAGGATACAACTGAGGTGTAATTAAAATTTTTTATAAAAATTTTCAGCTTATTTTTAGTTAAGCCACAAAGCTAAACCTGTTTTGTAATAATCTGGAATAATAAATACCTTTATGAGTTGCACAAGTATCTCCAAAAATGTGTTAGACCAGAGCTATTGCATTTATGTTGAGCTGATTGCACTTTAATGGCTGCACCTGCTTGGCCGAGGCATTAACCTTTTCCAAACTGGATCAAAGAGCCACTAAAAACCATTAGAAATGTTACGTTTAGATATCCCGCTGCTCAAGAATTTTAATTCTTGCAGGCAAAACTAGTGCAGGGCAATAGAATTAGTTGAACAAACAATCAAAATGCAATTGGCAGGCGGCGATTGCAATGAGTGCACAACAAAAGCTGTCGAAAAATATTTTCACCCGCACTGGCAACATGTTGCTTTTGGATGCAATGGCCAACATGTTGCTGCAGTTGCAGAGAGCCTCAACATGTTGCTATCACGTGCGCAGGCTCTCTGCTAGCGCTCTCAACATTTAGCGGCGACTTTTGTTTATGTTGCTGCGCGCGGCCATCAGCTGTTTTCTGTTTACCTTCCACACGCGTGTGGGAAAAAGGGGAAATGTTGACAGTGTAAGCCGGAGCCAGAGCAACATATGTTGCTGGCGGTGTTGCTCGACCCGCCAATGTTGCCAGTTGTCAGTTGTTGCCGTTATCTCGAGTTGCGTGTATCTGTGGCCAGCTGTATCTGAATTTGTGTGTGTCAGTGCGTGTTGCGTACTTGTATCTTTGTATCTTTGTATCTCGCTGGATTGCAAAATAGCCGCGTGTGTTTTTTAGTTTCTCCCCCAAACAATTTCCTGAACTTGTGCCCCAAAAGACAGACGGACAGACAGACAGACTACTTGGCATTTGGCAATCAATTGTTTGTCTGGCCGATTTCCTCTCCACAAGAATACAGCTCTTGGCCTCCAATTAAAGCCAAATGATTCACGGGGCGGCCTTTTTCATTCACAAACAAAAAAACTGTGTGCGGTGCGTGCGTGACACAGTTTTCGGTTAGCTTATGATTTATGCCGCGCTTGTCACATTAACAACAACCGCAAAATGTTTAAAAAATCTACAAAAATCTAAGAGATTCTGTGGAAATTTTTCAAACACCAGATGTTGAGATTTGTTAAGTGTAAAATATTACAAAGAAAACGACAGAACACGAAGAATTACCAAAGTGTCCAACAATTAATTGGAAAAGTCACAATTTGAAGACTTAAATAAAAAGTGATTCATCATAAATTGGTTTATTATTTGTCATTAATATTATGAAAGTCTACGGGGTTGTTGTATGTGTGCTAAGAATGAACAAATAGTAAACAAAAGTTAACTAGAAAGAGCAAACTACACACAAAACTAACGAAAAATTGTGGAAAATCTCACTTTACAGAATAAGTCGTTGCATTGTAAACACTAATTAAGAACTGTTCTAAAACTGTAAACTCTGACTAATTCAGGGATTATTTTTCAACTTCTACCAAAAGGAGAAAGCAAAAAGAAATTGAAAAAGTGCCCATCAATTAATTAGAAAACCAAAAAATTAATTAGAAAACTAAAAGAAAACTCGAGCGAACAAAATGCAGTTGAAGAGTTTGTGGCCTGCACTGACTCTTTTTAATTTTCTGTGGCTGGTCGCGGTGGCCAACGCTGATGTCCATCAGAATAATGGCCGGCAGAAGGTGTTGCCAGGGAAACGCCTGCCCGATGACTTGGGAACAGAACGTGATAAAAGTTCAGCCAAGATGCGAAAGATTTTCCCGCAAGCGGCCGCAGACAAGGAAAATGGGGAGTTGCGCCTGAGACACGAGCAACATCATCTGCGGCAGCAGCAGCATCTGATGGCGTGGGAGCAGCAGTTGCAACTGCAACTGCAACAGCATCTTCGCGAGCCAGAGCCCGAGACAGAGTCAGTGTCAGTGCTAGTGCGTCATCATCAGCATAAATCTCTAGCGAATCCAAAGCCGGGAACCGCAAAGAAACCCATTAGACAGGCTCCAAGTCTGGCCGATGACAAGGCCAAGATTTTGGTTAAGCGCAGACTCCACTACAACGAGTACGATAACGACGATCTCGAGTTGCACACCATGGACTCTGCCGAGAAGGAGGAGGAGGGACGCCTCTCCCCTCGGGAATGGCGGCGAATCGAAATTGCACATCGGCGGCAGAAGGAGCAACATCAATTGCAGCTGCTGGCGGAGCGACAACAGCAGCGACAACTACTGACAACAACAACGACGACGACGACGGAACCCAATAATGCCCAATCGGAGGATAATGATGTGAGTGCATCCGAGGGGACTCGATTTAATGGGTTAAAGCCAAAGCAAACTGTTGGTTTAAACGGCCAATAAATAGTATAATGGGAGGGGAAATATAGTTACCCTAACAGGAATATATTTATTAGTTCAATGTAATTGAAATGTTTGTTGAA